AGTAGAAGAAATGATTTTTAAGTGGCTGTGACTTTTTTGAGATTCCTTCTGAGGTCATTTGGGCCCATTCTCTAGACAAGCCTCACCCTCCCTCCAGCCTGGGGGCCTTGGTTTCTCTTATTAGCCAAAAACAGTTTTGGAAATTTCCCTGACAACCAAACAAGCCAGTTTGTTTCATTTATGTAGCAATAGTGCCACCCAGTGGCTAAATAGACAAGTGCCAGAAGGCAAATGCCAGCCGTCAGAGCCAGAGTTGGGAAAATACTAAAATGTTGATAGAAGGTCAAACCCTCTCTGATAAAATGGTATCAATTGGCAAAAATGCTACACATGCCAACTATTGCCACCCCAATGCCTACCCCTCCTTAACTAGGATCTCAGGGTGATCCTCTGAGTAGGCCAGGAAGTGATGGGTGTGTTGTCTGTAGGTTCACTTGGGTCATGGGTCGGCCTACTCAATTGCCTTGTATTTCTCTGTGTCCTCCTCCCCCTCCCCATATTCCTATCATAACAGCTAACATCTATGTACTTCACATCAGGAACTGTTTGAAGTGCCCTATGTGTACTTGATAAGGACCTACTGTGTGCTAGGCCTGGAATACCAGGTACCAAGTCAGAAAGGTTCTGGCCCCTGCCCTACAGGTCTGTGGAAACTGCAGTAGGGGACCAGTAATGATGATAGCACACAGTAGGTGGCATTTGGGACTATCCCACACTCACTCACAACCAAGATGCCACTGGTACACCCACCCAGGGTCCTGCCAACTATGGCACATGGCCCAGGGCCCTCCACCTGCTTTCCTATAGCCTGTGAGCTGTACAAAAAAAAAAAAAAAATGCAATGGTTTTTACATTTTTAAGTGGTTGAAAAAAATGAAAAGAAAAAGAATAGAGATGTGTGAAAATTACGCAAAATTCAAATTTCAGTGTTCCTAATCAGGCCCCCTGGAGCTCCGCCTTGTCTCCCTGCTTAGTGTTGTGTGGCCGCTTTGGCATTCGAAGGGCAGAGTTGAATAGTTTTGAGAGTAACCACATGGAACCCAGCGTCTAAAATAGTTACGATTTGGTCCTTTACAGAAAAGAGTGTGAACCTTGCACCTGGAGCCGAGCTGGAGGGAGATCTTCAGATGAACTGGCCCACCTCCACCTCCAGGCATAATTAATAATATGAGCCGATGCCTGCAGAATACACCTGTGTGCCAGGCCCTGCCTAAGTGCGCACAGGCGTCAGCTCAGTTCAGACTCAACATCAAGGCCAGGGGCACTGTTGTTTACTATGATTCTCACCTTACAGACGAGGGAATGGGGCACCGATGGGCTGTTCCTTGTGCAAGGTTTATAACTGGCAAGTAGTAAAAGCAGGCTTTGAACCCAGGCAGTCCCACTCCAAGGTCTGCGATTGCGATTTTAATTGAAAGAAAGAAAGAAAGAAAGAAAGAAAGGAAGGAAGGAAGGAAGGAAGGAAGGAAGGAAGGAAAGAAAGAAAGAAAGAAAATCCTATACCATAAACTAGATGAAAGGAAGTTAGAGAAACTGATTTAAAAAAAAATTTTTTTGCCACGTGGTCACTTTATGGTTTTTGAAAACCAGGTAGCAAATTCTTTCCCCTAAAATGTTTTGTCTTTTTTTGCTGCTGGTGCTGGTGCCCCAGTATTACTGGTAACTTCAAGCAGGCTTAATCTGTCTCCTCGCTACCCCGGTACCCGGATAGCGTACCCAAGAGGTGTCAGTGTCGTCATTATCATCCGTATTTTACAGATGAGGAAACCGAGGCCCAGAGAGGATGAGCATCCTGCCCAGGTCAAGGAAAGGCCATCCTTGTCTAAGACTTTGCTCATTTTAGCCCACAGTGTGCAGATGGAGACAGGAATAAGGGAAGAGGAGGAAGAGAAGAAGGAGGAGGAGGAGGAGGAGGAGGAGGAGGGGGTAGGATTCAGCTCAGAACCCAGCGCCCTCTGCCCAGCACACCTGCCAGAGATAAACAAAGCAGACGATGATCCAAACGAGCGGCAGCCACAGCCCATTGACGTAGACGACGCTCTCCGTCAGCCGCTGCACGTCCACAGACACCAGGTTGACCACGTCCCCAACTGCGCTGGTCTTTCTGGAGCCGCTGGACAGAGCCAGGACCTGGGTAGGGCAGGAGGAAGGAGACCTGAATCTGAGGGAAAGTCCGGAGGCCCCAGGCGCAGGGAGGGGGGTGGGGTCTGGGTCTAAGACTAATCCTGGCTGATTGAGGCAGATTTCTTCAGCACCTGAGCCTCCGTTCACTCATCTCTAACGTGAACTAATAAAAATCCCTAAGCCAACCTCCTAGGGCCTTTGTGAGAATCCAGGGAGATGACAAAGAGGAAAATACTCTGAAATCTCTAAAGCGTTGGAGCCATGATAGTCCATCACAAAATACATGAAAACCTTGGATTTGTGACGGCAGTGGTGGCCATTGGCTGAGTGCTAACCATGTCGCAGGCACTGTGTTCAATACACAGTGTCATTGTTTTCTGTGATGAACACATCACACATTGTGAGAATGCAGGGAGATGACAAAGAGGAAAATACTCTGAAATCCCTAAAGCGTTGGAGCCATGATAGTCCATCACAAAATACATGAAAACCTTGGATTTGTGACGGCAGTGGTGGCCATTGGCTGAGTGCTAACCATGTCGCAGGCACTGTGTTCAATACACAGTGTCATTGTTTTCTGTGATGAACACATCACACAACTGCATGGGGCGGGTACTGCCGTATTTCAGTTTCAAATGCCATGAATAAAACCCTATTTGTGTATCATTAAGCAAAAAAAAAATCAATGCCAATTAAATTAAGACGTAAGGCATCTTGATTTCAGAAGTATTTTTAAAAAGTGAGACTAGAATCAAAGACATACAGAATTACCAACCCCATTTTACAGCTTAGGAAACTGAGGCACAGAGAAATTGACCAACTTGCCCAAAGTCGGAGAGCTTGTAAGTGACTAGGCTAGGAATTGAATCCAGGATGAGCAAGTTATGACCCGGGCTCAACAGGCATTTAATGTGCCTCTCAAATACCAACCTGGTTCTCTGGCAGCCGGGAAATTCGCCCTAACCCTGGGGCCACAGCAGACCCCTTCCTGCCTGTTGAATGCTCAGTGTTATGTATGAGGAAAGAAGTGAGGGGGTGAAGGAATAAACTGGGAATGACTGAGGGTAGAAATTCTCCCAAAAGTCTTTGAATCGTTATTGAATACCTACTCCGTGCCTCACACTGAGCCAAGTACTGAGAATATAGCTGTGGACAACGGAGGGAATGGGGCTGGCTCCCCTGGGAGTGGAGTTTGAGCTGGGGAACAAGATTAAGTCAAGACTTCCATAGCTCTTTCCTTAATGGCAGTTATGATGAGTGCCACGAAGAAGTGTTTTAAATCCAGGTTTTATTATTCAGGGAAGTCAAGGCCCACACATCAGGAGACGACTGTCATTGACAAGATAGTTTTGATACTCCTAGATCTCAAGAGGAGAGGGTGTGCCATCCTGGGAGGGGCCACTCAGGGAAGCACCAGGTTGGGTGGAGGAAGGCGGGAAGAAGCCTGTACTGTGGTTTTCACAGGAAGGAAGGCCAGGCAGGGCAAGCAGGCTGAGGGCTGGCTTCCTTCAACAATCCCAGCAGGCTCTGGGGGGCGTGGGAGCCCTGCCTAGTTGTCTGGCCCTGGAGTGAATGGGGCAGGGTGTGTGTGTGTGTGGAGACAACGTCCCAGAAAGTGAGAGCCCCATCCATGGGGGTTGGGGGCTGGGCTCTGGGTTCAGTGGTTTGCATATTAAATGTGTGCTATCAGGTGAGTCATTTACTTTCTCTAGGAATTGGCAGTCCCTCCAGGATCAATAAAGCCCCAGATGTCAAAACACTAGATGTAGCCCTGGCAGGTAGGAGTGTGGTTAGAACATCAGCCTTGCATCTAAGGCAGTGGTTCTCAACCTTCTGGCCCTTTAAATACAGTTCCTCCTGTTGTGACCCAACCATAAAATTATTTTCGTTGCTACTTCATAACTGTAATGTTGCTACTGTTATGAATTGTAATGTAAATATCTGATATGCAGGATGGTCTTAGGCGACCCCTGTGAAAGGGTCGTTCGACCGCCAAAGGGGTCGCGACTCACAGGTTGAGAACCGCTGATCTAAGGGTTCCATTCCAGTCAAGGGCAGGTCGATCCCTGATCCCGGTCGGGGCGAGTGCAGGAGGCAACCAATTGATGTGTCTCTCTCATATCTATGTTTCTCTCTCTCTCTCCTTCTCCCCTTCCTCCCTCCCTTCCACTCTCTCTAAAATGGGGAAAATGTCCTCAGGTGAGAAGTAACAAAAAAAAAGACAAAACAAAACACCAGCTGCGGAAAATAAGATGACACAGTTCCTAGAGCAGCCCAGAGGGGAGAGTGAGGGGTCTGGCCTCGCCCTGAGATGAAGAAGGCCTTCCTCGCTCGGGGTGGGGAGTGGGACGGGCAATGCCCTTGGTCGTTTTCCAATCCACCTCACTCAACACGTGGACTCACAGGACCGGCCCGGCCCCACGTGCGCAGCTCCCATGTGCTCAGGGGACATGGGTCTGAAACACAGCAGCAGGGCAGCATCAAAGCCACCCTCGTGGCCACTGAGGAGCTGTTCCATTTACCCGCCTCCTTCCTCAGGCGGCAGCTCAGGTATGAGGAGGAGACTCACAGGGGGCAGCATCACCCTGGCTCAGACACTCCAGACCCCACAGGAGCCACTGTTTCTTATAGCATCAGTCTTGTGGGGTTCCTTCCAGGGTCCCCCAAAGGGACAAGAGTCACTGCACAGAGAGAAGCCCAGAGCTATGGCTTCCCACCAGGTGTTCATAGTTCCCTAACGGAACTTCTAGGTCAGATGCAATGTACCAATGGGTCAGGGCTCATTTTTTACCATAAGCCGTGCTGCCTGGTAACGTAGCTGACAGTCAGTCCACTATTACCTAGTTTCTGCACTGACCAAAGGTTAGTCCTTTATCCTCATGAGGGAGTTGATTGCATAAAGGTTTGTCCAGGCAGTGGTAACAGCAAGTGCAAAGGCCCTGGGGTGGGAGGGTGCTTGCTGTGTTTGTGGCTGGAGCGGGTGAGCAAGAGACGAAGAGACATATGATGTGATGTGATGAGGTCACAAAGATCCTAGGGTCAGATCATGCAGGGCCTTAGAGAAATAACCAAGGAGGTGCGAGTGCAGGGTAAGCAACTATTAACAAAGGAATGAATATGTTTTCAGGCACCGATGATATCAACAGTTCAGTGACATGACCCCTCCTGCTTTCCTGGCTGGAGCATCTGCATGTAGGTCAGGACAGGATGAGGAGAAGGGAAAGGCCCGCGCCTCTCCCCACGGCTCACCTTTCTGTACACCAGGCCAGTGACGGCTGTTCGCAGCCTTATCTGCAGCACCTTGAGTCTGTACATGTGCTGCTGCTCGAACAGCGTTTGCAGGCAGGCGGCCAGGAACATCAGCACCGCAATCAGATAGCCCTTCCAGGCCGGGGCTGTGGCATCGCCAATGAACTCCAGAAAAAGGCTTGTGGGAGAAGGAGGGAGGAGGCAGAGCTGGTGAGAGAAGGCACCCGCGGGTGTTGCCTGTGCCCAAGCCTGGCCAGGTCTTGGAGGACCAGATAGTGTGGCAGATTTTATTTTCAGAAAGGACTGTAATTATTTTCCCCACTCTCTATGCTAATGTGCAAAGCGAGCTGCGGCAGCTCCACTCAAGAACAGTGACGTTTTTATCCCCACCTGTGGTGGGCTGAGTTGTACCCACACAATTCCTGTGTTGAAGTCCGAACCCCCAGCACCTCAGAATGCAACTGCATAAGTTAAAGTGAGTCTGCCCCGGTGAGCCTTCATTCAGTATGATTGGTATCCTTAGGAAATTTGAACAGACTTGGGGTGCACATGTGCTAACTGAATTGCTCACCCACATTATCATAAGTAAACAAGTGGTTTAAAGCCCTTCACTTTTGGGGTGTTTTGTTATGCAGCAAAAGCTAACCGATACAGTCAGGTTAGCGGTCACTCACTGTCTCTCCCCAAGGTCAGTCACCTTCTCATTTGCTTTGGTCCTTCTCAGTGTCCTTTCGCCCACCCTCCACTTCCCTGAGCAGAGGTCTAGGTGGAGGCAGGAGAGCTAAAGCCCCCCGGCCCCAAGGACCACCAACCGTAGCAAGGCACCCAAGGCTTGAACTCACCTGAGGAGCTTGGGGACAGTGAACCTGAAGACGTCACTGATGACAAGGCTGAGGGTCCCCAGGAGGAAGGTAGAGCGGAAGACCTGCCAGAGGGCCCTCAGCAGCGGGCCCCTCACACTCCCTCTTGGCTGCAGGAAGGCCTCGGCCTCTGCGGGCTCCCCACCACGGCGGAGGCTCCCTTTCTTCTTAAACGCGGCTGCCGCAGTGTGCCTTAGGGGAGAAGGGGCATGGCGCTGGGTCCTTGAGTGGACTGAGTATGTTTCCTCAGGTTCATATGTTGGAATCCTAACTCCCAGTGCAGTGTATTAGGGGATGGGGCCTTTGGGAGGTGGCTAAATCCTGAGGGTGGAGCCTTCATGAATGGGATTAGTGACCTTATAAAAGATCCTTATCCCCCAGATCACCCCCTTCCTTATCCCCCAGATCACCCCTTCCTTATCCCCCAGATCACCCCCTTCCTTATCCCCCAGATCACCCCTTCCTTATCCCCCAGATCACCCCCTTCCTTATCCCCAGATCACCCCTTCCTTATCCCCCAGATCACCCCTTCCTTATCCCCCAGATCACCCCTTCCTTATCCCCCAGATCACCCCTTCCTTATCCCCCAGATCACCCCTTCCTTATCCCCCAGATCACCCCTTCCTTATCCCCCAGATCACCCCTTCCTTATCCCCCAGATCACCCCTTCCTTATCCCCCAGATCACCCCTTCCTTATCCCCCAGATCACCCCTTCCTTATCCCCCAGATCACCCCTTCCTTATCCCCCAGATCACCCCTTCCTTATCCCCCAGATCACCCCTTCCTTATCCCCCAGATCACCCCTTCCTTATCCCCCAGATCACCCCTTCCTTATCCCCCAGATCACCCCTTCCTTATCCCCCAGATCACCCCTTCCTTATCCCCCAGATCACCCCTTCCTTATCCCCCAGATCACCCCTTCCTTATCCCCCAGATCACCCCTTCCTTATCCCCCAGATCACCCCTTCCTTATCCCCCAGATCACCCCTTCCTTATCCCCCAGATCACCCCTTCCTTATCCCCCAGATCACCCCTTCCTTATCCCCCAGATCACCCCCTTCCTTATCCCCCAGATCACCCCTTCCTTATCCCCCAGATCACCCCCTTCCTTATCCTCCAGATCACCCTATTCCTTATCCCCCACGATCACCCCTTCCTTATCCCCCAGATCACCCACTTATGAGACAAATAGGCAGTTAGGGGTGGAGTGGGCAGGAAGGCAGCCCCAAGATCTCATGGATGGTGATGGGACTGTACATGCTTTGAGCACCTACTCTATGCACCAGGCACTTCCTAGTCCTCCTAAGAACCTGGCAAGCCTGGTGTTAAGCCCATTTCACAGATGTGCACACTAAGGCTCAGAGGGTGAACTTGTCCGAGGGCACATAGCTGAGAAATAAAAGAACTGGGATTTGATCCCAACTCTGCCTTTGGGCCCTCTTTTATCCAATATGCAGCCCTCCCTTCTTCTACAACAGCCCTTAGGTGGTTTAGACTGGTTTGGAGCTGGTTTAGAATCCTGCTGATGTCCATGGGTCTGGCACTCCTTGTCTGTATGACACCACATATAGAAGCTCAGGAGCCCTGAAGCAAAATGAGCCCTGGCCTCGGTCATAACCAGGGGCCACAGGGAGAGCTAGGGTGGCGGAGGGGGAGGCAGGGAAGTCAGAGGACCCCTCCTGAGGCAGGCAGTCCTCAGTCATAGGGAGAGGCTGGTTGGTGGTGATGCAGCTGCTGACAGCCCAGCTGCTGTGTGACTTTGGGCAGACCGCTCCCCTCTCTGTACTTCTGTGTCTTTGTGTGTGATGGAGCTAATCTCTCTCTCTGCGTCCCCTCCAATTCTGACAAACTATGGGGTTATCATTAATATCAATGCCCACGTACAGAGCTTGAACCCAGGACCAGGCACTGGGATCTGTCCTGTACATGCCCGATTGCACCAACTCCTCTCAACTTCCCTGCCTGCCAGCTCTCACAGGCTCCCCACTTTACTTAAGAGAAGACTGAGGCTCAGAGAGGTGGTGACAGCTGCCCGAGCTCACACAGCAAGGACAGAGCAGGGATCTGAGCCCGGATCTCCATCCATGGTTTACACTGCGCCTCTTTATGGTCCTCACCACCCAGCAAAAAGAAAAAAGAAAGAAAGACCGTGGCGAGCGTCGCTTGCCAGACTTTCGCTGACCAGGTCAAGGCCTTGTCCCCCATGCCTGGCCTCGCTTGCTGTTTGGTTTGGCATCTCGGAGGGTTGTGGCTTGGCCTTTGTCACTGAGCTGTGCATGACCTGCCACGTGCATTTTGGTATTTGGGTCTCGAATGACAAAAGGATGTCACCTCCTTGCGGAGGCCTTTCCCAACCACCCTTCCCCATCTGATTCCATCCTTTCATGACTGGCCTTCACGGCCATGCTCACTCTCTCCAACTCTCTCCTTTACTTATTGGTCTTGTTAGAGCTCAAGATGGGGAGACTTTTTGCTTTTTTCCCCAGCACCTAGTTCAGCTCCGGAATGTAGTAGGCACTGAGTTAACCCTTGCCAAATGAATGGGGGGGAAATAGATTAGCTGTGATGTGTGCAAAGGGCCTAACAGAAGTGCCTGGTGCATAAGGTTATAAAGATTTGTGGAAGGAAAAAAGGAAGCAGGCAACTTGGTTTGGTGGACTGAACTTGGCCTTGGAGCCAGGGGACTGAGGTCAAATGCTAGCTCTGTCCCCTGCCCTCTGAGCCTCAGTGTTTCTGAGTGGGCGAAGAGATGACTGTGAAGGCTTCCTCTGGCTGGGTGTACTGCTCGTCCTGTTCTAGCTGCTTGCCCCAGAGCTCTGAGTCATTGTGGTCAGCCTGCAGGCTGTAGCCAACTTCCTCCGCTCCAGGGGGCTTCACTTTTCTTCCAGGACAGCCTCTAGACTGGTGTGTAGCCTTTGGTCTCTGGACCAAAGGTCTGTTTGTGCAGGACTTGCATACGACCACAAGGTGAGACAAGGGTATGAGTGAGTGGCCAGGTTTGAGTCGGGGGAGACAAAAGGGAGTGGTGGAGACTGTGGCAAGCTGAAGAGCACCTGCCCTCTCTAAGGGGGCAGCCCCCACCCAGATCCACTCTCCTGTTCCATGCGGGGCTGTGACCTAGCACCGCCCGTCTACTTTAAGAGAGATCAGAATTCCAGATTCTTAGGCGACATCTCTCATGTTTTAAATGTTGGCAACTTATTAAAAACAAAACAAAACAAAACCCCAAAGAACAAGAACAACATTCCACCATGTGGGCCAAGTATACCTTGGAAACCTGGCTTGGCCAGTAGGTAGCACCTGCTAACCTCTCAGGATGACATCCTCTTCCTCCAAAAGTTGCAACATATTTCAGACCTAAAACCAAAGTTCCCTCTGTGTGTCATCAGTCAGCTCGGAACATGACTGAGCTGGGTCCTTGGATAACCATGCCTTCCTCCTTTCTTTCTGCCCACTGTTTATGGGTCCTCAGCCTGCCCTGGGGAATGTTTCCATCTACCAGCTCCAGTGTTCCCGTGTTCTCATGCTGGCAAGGGAAGCCCGAGCAGGGAGAGAGCGGGTGAGACACCAGGGCTTTTGTGAATGAACTCTGCCCCTCAAAGGTAATTTAAGAGTGGAGGGGAAGTTCAGCAAGTACTATGCCTGGTGTGTGAGAGAGAGCTGCTGCTTCGATTTGCTCATATACTCACCCCTTTTTGAGCAACCCACCCCCTTCCTTTGGGGAGCAGTACCTCCTCTCCCCTTCCCTCTTTGTGTGACTCTCAAGGAATCACCAATAATAGGGCCCACCCCCTAGCCATGGGCGTGGCCCCACATGAGCCAGCCAATCCCAATTTCCTTGGGGTTTCCCCTATATGAAAGCTAGGAGAGATGGCATTATGAAGAGCCGACTACACAGAAACAGCTGAGAGGAGAGATGGGGGGAAAGAATTTGGATACCATGTAAGCCCCTGGATTCAGCCAGACCTGAAGCCAGACCCACCTTCTCTGCTACTAGTATGTGAGCCAACAGTCTCTCACTCTCTCTCTCTCCTGCTAATTTGTGGGACTTAGCATCTACAGCCACCACCACAACATCCTAGAGTACATGAGGGAAATGTAACTTTCCCCCACAGAACTAAGTTATTTTCGTCTGTCCCCCGAAACACCAAGATCCAGTGAGGTCAAGCGACTTGTCCAAACCTCAGGTTTCATTAGTGTTGTCAGCTCATTTCTCTAGAACAACGAACGGTTCCCAAACTGGTTCTTCAGACTCCAAGGCCCCCACCGAAGTTTCCAGAGATGCCACGGAGGGCAAGAGTGGGGCACAGAGGACAGGACTAGAGAGAGCTTGAACTCCTCTGGGGAACTGGTATTGCTTGTGCTTTTACAGTTTTAGAAGAATTCGCTCAGTTCTTTTCTAAAATCATTTTCTTTTCGTCTCCCACAAGTTATGAGTTAAGGGAGAGGGGATGGCACCCCCACTGAACAGGTAAGAAAGCCGAGGCCCAGGAAACGAATTACTCGGTGACATAAGTGAATAGTTGCCTGCATTTCTGATCCACCACCCAACTCTCCACCCCCAGTCTTAAAACATCCCTTCTGTTTCCTGCCTGCCATCCCAGCATTCGAGCTTCCTTCTGGAGACCTTGTGGAGCTCCCACTTTGTCCCTCTCGTTTGGGAACCTGCGAAGCACTCGGGGCAGGGGTGCGGAGTGGGGAGGCGGAATGTCACTTTCTCCTGACTCATTAATGCTTAGTGACATCCGCCAGCAGGAAGGGGACTGTGGAGGTGGAGCCAGAGGATGGTTGGTGGTTGTATTTGGAGCTTTGCTAACCAACCTTGCAGCTGAGCTCGCTCTCTGCTTCCACACACTCACCGCTGGGCCGCTCTGCGGCTCCTTGTCCATTCCCTTTCCAGCTGGGAAACAAGTTCTTCTGAGGAGTTCTCTCTCCGAACGGACCAGAGGTCTTTTGGTCCCAGTGGCCTCCTGTAGCCCCTCCAGACCAGCCTGTCAAAAAAAAAAAGAGGGTCACCAAGGCAGGCTCCTTGTGTCTTCTGCCCCATCAAAGTCCTGGCCTGGTAGCTGTGTGACCCTGGGTAAGTCCCTTTCCCTCTCTGCACCTCTGCTGGCCCCTCCGTAAAGTGAAAGCAATGAACTTAACTGCACCTATTATTTGCTGGCACTTTCCAGTTTATAAAGATCATGTCATTTAATGCTCACATGAGCCCATCTGAGAGGTTTTTATTGACCCATTCTACAGAGGAGGAAGCAAACAGAGGCTCAGAGAGATTTAATCAAGAGACGGCCTGTGGGGCAGGGGAAATACACCTCCCTAGGAGTCAGAAGTCCGGAATGGAAAACTATCACTGTGGAGAAAACCTGAACTCTTCCTTCGGTGTTCCATGTCCCCCTCTCCTCCTCGCTCACCCTACAGCCATCCGGCCTCAGGACCTTTGCACATGCGTGTCGCTCCGCTCAAAACTCCTGTCTTGCATTCCTCACCTGGTCACTTCTGACTTGTCCTTCACCTCAGCTTAGATGGGATTTCCCTAGAAGCCCACCTGATGACCTCCGCTGTCCAGATCCCCCCATTAAATGATCCCATAGTTTCTTGAGCCTTTTCATTTATAACTAGAGGCCCGGTGCACAAAATCCATGCATGGGAGGGGGTCCCTCAGCCCGGCCTGCACCCTCTCCAAATCCGGGACCCCTCGGGGGATGTCTGACTGCCTCTTGCAATCTGGGACCACTGGCTCCTAACCGCATGCCTGCCTGCCTGATCGCCCCTAACTGCTCCCCTACTGGCCTGATTGCCCCTAACTGCTCCCCTGCTGGCCTGATCCCCCCTTACCGCCTCTGCCTCACCCCACACCCAGGACACAGGATTCCCTCCTCCGGCTGGTCACAGGCACCCGGGACCTGGGCTTCCCTCCCTCTGGCCAGCCGCAGGCACCCAGGACCCAGGCCGGCTTTGCCTGGGCCACAGCTGAAGGCACCTGGGACTGCGGGGCGGGTGGCTTGTCCCTCTCCAGGGCCACAGCCTGGATGGTCCCCATTCCTCTCTCTCTTGAGCTCATTTGTGCCTGGCTGGTCCCCATTCCTTTCTCTCTTGAGCTCATTTGTGCCTGGCTGGTCCCCATTCCTCTCTCTCTTGAGCTCATTTGTGCCTGGCTGGTCCCCATTCCTCTCTCCCCAGTGTTGAGTGTCTGAGCCATTATGGTGTGACGGCGTGAGGGCATGGTGACCATTTGCATATTAGCTCTTTATTATATAGGATGCTGTTGCAATTATGATCATCTACTTTTTAGTCTGATCATTTATTTAGTGTCTTTCTCCTCCATAGGGACAAAGACAGCGCTTGCCTTTATCCTCATCCCCTGGCCCAAGATTTGTCACATGAAGCCACTTATCAACTCTGTGACATGGTCATGTCACTTCTCATCAATGGACCTCAATTTTTTCACCTTAAAATTACAGTGTTTCCCCACACATGGGGCTGGTATGTGAGATGACTGTCAGTGGCCCATTGCTGGAAGAGGTCATTGAGAGGATGGGGCTACTGGTTGACCCCACAGCTGGACCTGGTCAATTGAAGGCCTCTCACCCTCCCCTGTCCTTGGAATGTGCACACTGCCCACTCTTCCTGCACTAGGAGCCATTCCAAGGATGTAGCCTTGAGAGAGGAAGATGTTGTTGAGACCATCTGGAAGGTCCATGTGACTGAACCCCATTAAGGCCTCTGTATAAACTGTTAAGATTCTGACCAGTGAGTGTGGAGATCTTGTCTTGCAGCCCAAGATGAGGCTTGTAGGTGAGTTCCCTTGCTTGTGAAAACCGCCACCTACCATTCTGGAGCCTGTCTCCTCCATCTCTCTTTGCCCTCTGGGTACAGGGCCAATTTGCAAACCAGCACGCACACACAGAAATTAAGTGTTATTTTCTTTTTAGGTCTCTCTAATCTTTCCAATGATGTCAAGGAGAAGGTCTTATTTGGTGCTGGTCTTGTGCTCCTCTCTGAGACTTTTCAAGTTCCCTGCCCTAACTCAGAGCAAACACAGGCGAGCAACAGTTCTGATCTAGAAATTATTAACATTGCTTACTTTTCACTGAAATTATGTTTGGAGTTCTACATGGCAAGTGATTCCATAGAATTTTTCCAATTTGGCAATGATAGAAAGTTTCCTTTTTTTAAAAAAAGGCTATTAAAGTAGAAAAGTGAGTTAATTTAAAGAAAAAAACATTAAGTAAATCATGTATAAATAATACTCGAATAAGGCAAAAAGCTTGAAGAATGGTCCATAAATATCTATGTTTGGGAAATACAGGGGTAGGTCTGTTTTCTTCTAGCACTTCTATGCTCTTTCCACTAGCTCCACACCCCCAGAGCATCCCATTCTGCATGCATTTAGCAGCTGCTTTATATAATACTCATTGTAGGCCAGACCCTGTTCTAAGTTCTTCATAAACTGTATTTCATTTAATCCTCACAACCCTATGAGGTAGATGCTATTATCTTCATTTTATAGATGCAGAGACTGGGGCACAGAGAGGCTAAGTAGCTTGCCCAAGGTCACACAGCCAGGAAGCGGTGGGGCTAGGATTCCAATTTGGGTACTCTGAAGTCTGACCACAGTGTGCTCAGGAGGGGGCCTGGTGGGTGGGGACACCCTCAGTGCCCAATGTGCTGACCCTGGAGAAACATCTGTCTTCTCTGCCAGCCTGGGAGCCTCCAGGGGGTAAAGATTTGGTCTTTCCCTCCTCACCCCTGGTGCTTAGCACATAGTAAGTGCTTATTAAATGTTGATGGAATGACTGACGCTGAGTAAGAGACGATTTTATCTAGCACCTGCTATGTACAAGCACTAACCACTTCACATTCAATGAAAGTAGAGTTGTTCCCATTTTAAAGAGGGGAAAACTAAGACTCCATATTGTGATATGGCCGGCTAAGAGAGAGCTCCAGGGTTCAAGCCCAAATCTCACTCCAGTGAGTGAGGAGGAGTGGGATGTGGCGGATGGGCACTTTGAGAGGGACACACTGAGGCCGGAGCAGAGAAAGCCAGCTGACCTTGGAACCCCATGGGGGACGAACGGTGGTAACAAATCAGGGCAGCAAATGGAGGTGAGGAAGGCACCACCTCAGCCCTTCCCAGCTACTGTACTTACCCAGAAACCCACCAGAACATGGCCTTGGAGGGGAAGGAGGCCCCAGCCTCCGGACAGGGATTCTGTAAAGACAAAAGATGGGGCAAAAGGAGAATGCAGTCTCACATTCCAAGGCCGCTCTGTGGCCAGGGGAGCCAAGGGCAAGAAGACAGGGGAAATGACCATCAGCTTAGTCTCCAAGTGCACAGCGCTGTGCCCGGCCTACTTGTCGGAGGTAGACACCCAGCAGGCAAGGCAACAAGGGACTGGGCCACAGGATTGACAGCTTGTTATCAGTTTTTAAATTTTTTTTCTGCCATTATCATGGAAAAAAGGCGAGACTGTAGTCTTATGTGGTTATTTAAGCAGTTGAGCTTCGTTTTAGATGACCTCAGATCAACTGTCTCTTCCTCAGAGAATTCTCTCCTGAGTTCACGTTACCTGTTGTAAGCTCTCAGGGACCGCGAGGTTCTCCTGCAGAGCATTTTCCCCAGTGGTAATTTTCCCCACATTCGTATAATTACGTGACTAATGTTTGGTTCTATTACTTGGCTGTTAGCTGCATGAAGATAGGCACATCTGCTTATTCAGTATAACCTGCAGTACCTAGCTGGGGCACAGAGCAAAGGCAGGCAAACTGCAGCCCTGGGGGCCAAACCCGGCCCACTGCTTGTCTCTGCAAATAAAGTTTTATTGGGACACATTCCCTTTGTTGACATATTGTCTGTGCTACAGCAGCAGAATTGAGTAGTTGCCACAGAGACCAGATGGCCCACAAAGCCTAAAATAGTCTCTATCTTGCTCTGGACAGAAAAAGTTGGCCAACCCATGGCATAGAGTAGACGTGCCATACACGTTTTGCTGAATGATGGAATGAATAAAAAAAGAAAAGTCCTGTGCTCTAGTTTACCCACTTTGGTTACATGGGGAGACGGAGACCAGAAGTAGAACAGGGACAAGGGAAGCACCGGATTGGCAACTTACAGATTGCTGGGGCTCTTTAGGGAAGAAGGGGGGTCGATCGGCCAGGCAGGACAGCAGAAACTGCGCCACCATCAGAGACAAGCACAGGTAGGTGGACAGGTGGCGGAAGGGGTCACTCTGGAAGCCCTGCGGGAGAGAAGGCAGAAGTCCCACTGAGCCCAGGCAGGCAGATTGATAAGCCAACTGTGCAAATCCCCCGTCTGATGCATTAGTGGGTGGCCTGTGGAATTTTCCCATTAGTTACAAAGGTTACTTTGTAAAAATCTGTCCTTGAGGACAGAAGGGTGGTTCTCTGTCCTCTCCTTTTAACCATCTGGCTCAACAGGTCTTGGGTGGGTGCCACCTGTGCAAGTGGTTGTCAACTGGGGGTGACTTTGCCCCCAGGGGACATTTGACAACGTTGACAGACATTTGGGGTTACCAAGATGAGGGTTAGTGCTACAGGCATCTAGTGGGTGGAGACCAGGGATGCTATTCAACATCCTACAACGCACAGGACAGCTTCCCCACCCGAAAGAGAATTATGCCACGAGTGCTGAGAAACCCTGTCTAGGCTATATATTTTTCTCTGCAGATAAAATGATCCATCATGCCCCTACCATGGAAATGCTGATGTCCAGTTTGGGAAACAGGAATATGAGCGGGTGTGCAAAATGAGCATGGAAATACAGATGCATGAGAGCACGGGTGAGGGTGGGAGCAGGTAAGCATGAGGGGAAACCTGCATGCATGAGGAAGAGTGTGTGCAGGTGTGTGTCAGGGGAGGTCATGGAGAGGACGTGACTGCGGGGTGACCTACAAGCTGGACCTGGGCCATCAGAGACTCCACACCCTCCCCTGTTCAATGAGGCAGCCTTGAGAGAGCAAGGTGTCTGAATGGCTCACGTGACTGAACCCCATTAAGGCTGCTGTATAAACTTTAAGATTCTGGTGGGTGGATGTGGAGATCTCCTTGTCTTGTGGTGACCAAGTTCCCTTGCTTGTTAAACCACCACGTTCCAGTCTAAAATGGCCCGGCTTTTGCCCTCTGTGTATAGGACCAGTTTGGAATTTCACGTGGGAACTCCGAGCTTGCCAACCCACAGTGAGTCTGTGCCCGGGGAACGGTGGGAGTGCTGTGTGAATGTGTGTGTAGTGTGGGAACTTGAAGGCACAGCCACAACTGGGTGGCAGCAGGTGTGAACGCACATATGCAGGTGTGTGGGGGAGGTTTCGGAGCCTGTGGTTGTGTGACCCAGTGTGTCTGCTGTGCAAGTTAAGTGTGTGCTGTGAGTGTGTACGACCATGAGAATTTGTGCCGACAAAGACATGGGGATGATGGGTACTTCAATGGGAGGGAGTGGGTTTGTGAGTCGCTAGAGCTTAAGCACCTGTGGTGTTTGTGTCTATGTAGAGAACAGGTTGTGTGTGGAAAGGGGAGGAGGCCTGAAACTGTCACTGTGGTTTCCCCAGGTGGACCAGGCCCCCACTTACCCCTTGTGAGGCCTGCTGGGCGGTGCTGATGGCTGGCAAGAGACAGCAGAGCAGCCAGTACCCAAACAGCACCCCAGATGCCTGGACCCCCTTCTTCCTCTCCATGTGGATCAGGAACACTGCCAAGATCTGCACAGAAAGTCAGGAGACACCTCTTAAGGTGGGGCGGGGGGCGGGACGCAGGGGGAAGCCCCAGTCTGCTCCCCACCCTTCACTGAGGCAAGGAAAGACAGTAAGCCAGGAGCAAGCCTGGGATGTCCTTACCATTGTGGTGAGCCAAACGGTGGGGTGAATGAGGAATTCGGGGGCCTGGGGCATCCCCTGCTGGATTCTCCAAAGAGTGACAGACACGCTGGAGGTGTACAAGATTATGAGGGTGAACCCAAGCACCTGGGGAGACAGGCTTAGATGAGGCTCGTGGGTGAAAAGAAAGGTGGTGGCAAACTGCACCATGACCCCACATCACTATGGCTCTGGATGGGGCACTGCACGTACCAATGTCATAATTTAACAGTGCCCGATGGAGGGGAAATTTGCATAAGAAAAAGCAGTGAGGGGTGTTGCAAACCGATCTTGACCTGTAACTGTCATATAAGAATGAAACACAAGGGTTGGAGCCAACCCCGTGTTTTCCAAAATGCTGGCGGTGCTCCAGGCGTGCACAGGAGAGAGCTCAGGTACAAAGGAACAGAGTGGGATGAAATAGACTCACCAGTGAAAAAGTTACACTTCCTTCAAGTCTCTTTCCATCCCTACTGTTAAACCAAAGGGAAACCCTCCGTTGGGACCCGTATGTCTCCAGGCCCTCTCTTGAAGGCTTCGATCTCTCTTGAATAAGAGAGAGCAAGAAAGTGGGAGTGCCTACATGTGGGAGAGAAGGCCAGACCGAGGCACACCAGGGAAACTACTGAAAGTACCTCAGTTAGTCAAAGCAGGGGTCACGCTACCACCCGCAGGCAGAGTTTGGCACACGGCCTGTTTCTGTATTGCCTGTGAGCTAAGAATGGCTTTCGACATTTGCCAATCATTGAACAAAAGTAAGAAGAGTAAATATGTCATGCTGCGTGAAAGTTACATGAAATTCAAATTTCAGCGACTGTAAATATTTGTTGAAACACTGTCGTGCCCATTTGTTTACTGTGGTCTGTGGCTGCTTTCTTGCTGCAATGACAGAACTCAGTAGTTAGGACAGAGACCACATGACCCCCACAGCCTCAAATATGTACTACCTGGCCCTTTAAGGGAGAGTGTGTCAACCATAGAGAGATGGTTGGCAATAGGACAAAAATTAACTAGGTGGTATGGGAATGAATGCACGTTGCAGGGCATTCTTGTAGAAGTCTGGAGGAGAATGGGATAGATAGTTGAGCAGAAAGGCTCACCCTTACAATGCCAGTGTTTTTGTAACTCACTAAAATAGATACCCAACAATATTTTTTTATTGATTTTCAGAGAGAGAGAGAGAGAGAGAGAGAGAGAGAGATGAGAGCAAAACATCCTGCATGCTACCCTACCTGGGCTCAAACCTACAACCTTTTGGTGCACGGGATGACGCCCAGCCAACTGAGCCACACCGGCCGGGGCGATACCTAACAATTTGAAGAACTGTTCTTTAGTACTGAGAGCTGGGAAACATAAAAATCAATGCATAACTGTTAAACATGTAAAAGGTTTATCCTAGTGTGATCCTAAAATTACCTTGTGTATGCCCTGCTTTGCGGAATGTCAGGTTATGGTGGCCAGAAACTGTCCAGGAACGCATGAGTGTGTGTGTGTGTGTGTGTGTGTGTGTGTGTGTGTTTTCATTATTACCAATCTGTTTGAGTGAACCTTGTTCCACTGAGTTTACCTCTGTATCCTGTGGAGTGTTGCTCTGTTTGGTTAAGTTCCCTTCTTGTCCCCACCCCATGTGCTTCTTGATAGGAGGAGTGTCCGCTGCGGGGTCTCTGCCAGGTTCCAGCCTGCTCCTCCCCCGCCCCCCCAACCATTGTCTGGTTCCAGGCTCCCAGAGGCAGTAGCTACCATTTTGGTCTTGAACAGGGAGGACATGCGGAGGTAGCCCTTGCCATGGCGGTGGATATAGAGGAGGTAGATGGGGCCAAGGGCCCAGAGGTACATGGGGGGCACCCAGGCCCCTGCCGTTTTCAGGAAGCAAAGGCTTAGTAGGCGGTCAGCAGCGGGCTCAGGCTCCGTCTGGTTCCAGACCTGAGGGAACACCAGGGCGACTTTTATGATGGTACAGCACAGGGGTCCTAAATTCACCTGCTGAGGGGCCAGGCGACTCTTTGGAGCCCTGACATTTATATGAAAACATGCCAAGCACTCTTTGGAATACCTTATAATTCTCAACTCCTCTAACCCTAGCAGCAACCCTATCAGGTAGATGCAATGATCACACTGATTTTGCACATGAGGAAGCGGAGGCCCAGAGAGGTTGAGTAACTTGGTTGATGTCACTGAGCTGGAAAGTGGTGGTGCTAGGATTTGAACCCACGTGGTTGGGTCCGGGAGTCTAGGAGACCTGGGCTCCCTGAAAAGTGCTGGGTACGGACTGTCACTTAACCTTTATCACAACCCCAGGATGTAGGTGTCACTGCCCCCATTTCACAGACCTGTTCACTGAGAGGGAACAGGCTTCTTTGGACTCACACAAACAAGGAGCGACAGAGCTGACGCCATTGACCCCAAACTTTGTTCTCAGTTTGTGATCCTTATCCTGGCCCCTGGCCTTCTCTCACGCTAGAAGAAGTTTGAATATGAAGTTTACAGAACATGGCCTCTTTAGTTTTCTCCCTGCTGTATTAACGGCCCCCAACTCCCTCCCTTCTGGTAATCTTGACTCCTCCGGGATTCACCACTCACCAGCTCTGTAAACTGCAACCTCCCTGTGCCTCAGTTTCCTTCCCTGCAAAGGGGGGATGATAAGAGAATCAATCTCTAAGATGCTGGGCACAAAGTAGGCCCTCATTTAAACATCAGCTGTTATTTTTGCCTTACCTACCAGGCCCCTGAAATCGTGAGATTTTTGTGACCTTTACTGCCATCCCATGAACTCAACTCCCTAGAGTCCTCTGCTTAGAGCCTGCAGGAGAGACATGGGGGTTCTGAAGCTTTATGCAAATAGGGGTCAAAGTTCCTGGAGTTCTGGAGGCCCCTTTAACCGTGCTCCGCTCTTCTGGGCATGGGCTTGGTTAAAGGGGTCGCCCTCCCCTGCTGTTCATCCAGCCTAGTAATTTGTGGGTATCTCCCCTCCCCAGAACTATACCTCCTGGGAGGTCTACCAAACCGGGAAAAGGGGCGTGGGGCGGTCGGGGGACACTCACTCCTGGTCCCACGCTGGGCTCTCCCTGCGCGGCCATCAGCACAGTCTTTCCGTCTGTCTGTCCGTGGGTCTGTAGGTCAGTCCCTGGCAGCCCCTAGATCGGGAAGGGGCGGAGCCCGGCAGGCCTGGCCTGGATTCCAGCCCCTGATTGCGAAGCACCGGGCAAGGTCCAGCCTCATGGTGGGGGTGGAGCAAGAAGGGATGAAACTAGGCTCAGAGAGGCCCCAACGGGCTCCTGGGGAGGGGATCCCCCAGCTCCAGAAAGTGCAGTGGCACCTCCAGATAACCCTCCAGGCCCGCGCAAAAAGTGTCACCCCGAACTTCCTGAATACTGTGGAACTGCAATTCCAGGAATTGATCCCAATGAAAGAACCTAACAGGTGTGCACATGCTAAGAGTCCAACAACTGGGGTGTGTGGGGGAGCCGTCTGATTCATCTGCCGTCTTCTCATCCGTAGGGATGGACATTGTCTGCTTCCAGGGTAGTGGGGAGATTCTAAGAAGATGACTAGTAAAGAGTTCAGCACTGTGCCAGGCACACCTAGATGCTCAGCAAGTTAGCTATTATTAGCATTAGTATTATTATTTCACTCATAGGTTATTACGTAGTGGTTTAAAGAGCCGTTGCAGAAATATATTAATTTGGAAAGATGGTTGCAAAATGCTAAGTGAAAAAGAGATCATAGTCTAAAATAGGCTCTGATCATGAAAAGAAAAAGTATATGCTGAAGTTGGAGAAAGTGGGAAAGTCATGTCATTTACCTTCTTCTGCGTCTTAAAGCAAGGTGTGTCCTCAGCCACGAGTTCTTTTTGGAAATGGTTCTACGTGGCCTGTATGCATAAATAAAGAGATGGAAGTGCACTAAAGCAGCATTATGGGAATCCCAATTTTCTTTCTTTTTTTTCCTTTCCTTTTTGATTTCCTTTCTTCCTGCAATGAGCACGCATTCTTTTCAGGATAGGACGGAAATGCTCAGCTTTTTCAGACAGATAAGCACAGATGCTCCATTTGGGTGCAGGATGAAAATCCTCTGCTCTCTCCACGCTGCCTTGTTACTTCTCGGGCTCTTGACCTCATCTTCTCTCCTGCTTCCTGCAGGACCTCAACCACACGGGTTCCCCTGGCCTTCTCCCCCCCGCCCCATCCCCTTTCTTTTTTTGTTTTGCCTTCAGCCATCCTCCTGTCTGGGTCTTCTGGGAGAGCAGGGACACAAAGAACCCAAGGATCTGTCTTGGAGCTGAGTGTGGCAGGTCTGCGGTTTACACTTACACTATGTCTGTTCATGTGCGGTGGTTTTGGTGGAGGCTGTTGGAAATTTGGGGGAGGCTTGAGCTCCCTCTGCCTGCAACCCCCTCTCTAATTGGCATTGCCACAGCCCTAGTCCTTTATTTCTGTGTGTATATTTGAAGATGAATTTGAGGGGAATGGTAGACATTCGAGGGGGAATGGTCAGGAAGGCAGGATGAACATAGAGAATATCTATGAGCCAGGGACAGAACTTGGGCACCTCCAAACCTACTTTCCAGCACTCTGAACATCACATGGCTGCCTGCAGAGAGCCCTAGACAAGTCCCTTTTCCTCTCTGAGCCTCAGTTTCTCATTCTGTAAGACAACAAGGTTCCATAGGCCAGCATTTTCTAATTGGTGGTTTTTCAACCCCTGGTGATTTGCCAAGACAGACCAGGGATGCATGTTAGAAAGGGTAAAGGGTACATATTTCAATTGTAGTTATATACAACAAACCTCAAGCAATAAAACAATTATTTAAATCTTTTCTCTCTGTAACCAAACAGTTGAGAGTCTCACTGTATTTCAAATGAGAATTCAGACTGAGAAACTGAAGTCAGATGCTCTCATTATTGAGATCCCCAGTGGATGTATTGTAGCCAGTCTGAGGGTTTTGACCTTTGGGTAGTTCAAGATCATTGTGATTTATAGTTTTTATGAATCTCAAAGTCTTAGCCACAATGGCAAATTCCAGTGGGAAATTTCCTTTTACCTCATGATTTAGAAACAAAATATAAAAATCTATCAAAATAAAGCACTTGAGTTTTTTTAGGAGCAAAATGGAAGATTTCCAAAAGTGTCAGGTCAGAAAAAGCAATTTTTGTCTATTTCTATGTGGTGACCTGCAGTTAAATTCAATCTATGTTATAGTATCTATTCAATCTTGGGACAAAATACAACGTTCTGAATCTAAATTACTTTTCAGACAAATCATGTTTCATCTTACAGAGGTAATTCAAAGTAAAGTAAACTGCTTATGGGGAAAAAAACCCTCAAAATTTGTTTCTATGCAAATATTATTAGAGCTTGGATTAAAATAAAAATTATATATATATATTTTTTCAGTGTTATGTTGAATT